CCCGAATACCTACTAAGTACCTGCTATAAAGGTACTGCTACCCTTTGGGTTAGGAAATCATGTCAAATCCACCGTCAGCCGGGAGCGCGACGCTGGGATCGTCGCGGTCCGTATGCTCGCGGCTACGGCTGCGACCTGGGGGAGGCGACATGAACGAAAAAAGCAAAGGCAAGGGGTTTAGGGTTTAGGTTGCATCAAACCTGCATACCCTAAGGGTCCATGTACCTAAATAGTACATACATTGGCCCTAAAGTACCTATATAGGGACTACATTAAGGCCAAAGCATACACTCTTTGGGTACATGGACCCTTAAGATACAGATGTACCTTTACTCATGCCTAAATTTTCATAGACTTCCAGTAGCCACGGTGAACTTTCGAGTTGCCGACTATGGCACCCGGATTTAGGGCGGCTGGAGGGCTCTGGGACTGCTCCGATTCCTGAAAGCATGGATCCCGCTGAAGTCTGCCGTCGAAGATGGAGCCAGCAGCATATCTAATCCAACCTAATAAAGTACTTTCATACTACAAAATAACATATGAAATATAGTGTAGTATAGGTTAGTTTAGTTTAGGATCGTGAAATCGAAAAGAACATAGTGAACAATAAGAAGCCGCAAGGCATCAAGTTGTAAGTGACACCAGCAACAGCTAGACCACGTGAAGAACTGCAGGCCACAGTCACAGATCGCAACAAAAGGGCGCGCACTTTTCTCACCCGTTTGCTTCTGGTACCTGCGACAAGAGGGCTGAGTGAGGGGTTCGCAGGGCGCGCTGAGTGGTTCTGGCTTCCTACTGCATCTCGCAAACATGCTAGTTGTGAGGGCTAAGCCTCTACGAAATAGTCTCTTCACGCTATGAATCTAATGCTTTATGCCTGCAGCCAGAGATTTCTGTACGCAGGAGGCATATGAGCCTCAAGCACTCTGTATATCGACTTCAGGTTTCTATTAGCCGCAGTTAGTTGAATCCTTCTGCACCCACCACTGGATTGAACCCTAAAACCTATAAACCCTAAACCCTATATCCCCTAAACCCTTAACCCTCAACTTTTTGGGGCACTCTTCGCCCAAGGGGTTCGAGGCTGAGGTCCATGCGTAGGCGCCATGGTTTCGGGAGGACATGGGCCCGCAGGTTCGGGTTTTGTAAGGAATACATTAGGGTTTTGGTGCATGCTACTCTATAGTGTAATTCTTTACAGGAGCCCCAATAAAATTGAATAGTATTGCCATGAGAAAAGTAGTTGTGCTTTTGTGGGTGTGCGGTTTATACAAACCGGAATGTCCGACTGCTATAGGGAGGGGGCAGCCCCCAAAGTATTGGTAATTATTCAGGCCGCAATGTTAAGCTGAAGGTTCTAGAATTCTAGAAGGGGGCGTGCAGGCATTACAAGTCTAATTAGAGTCCAATTCGTTCAGGGTTCTCAAAGACCTGTCGCCGAAGCTGTACAAGCCCCAAGCCAAGTCTGAATGACAGCAGCTTCGCTCCTGACAAATCCGAAACCACAGAAGCGGTACCACGAACCGTTCGAGTTTAAGGCTTGAGTAGTTGAGTTTCGGTACCATCCGGTAAAGCCCGAGGAAACCCGACCGAAACAGAGAGAAGTGGATGCGAATTCGAATTTGCCACAATCGATACTGCTGCCACTACTGCTATCAGGCTGATACTGTTCCTCCCCCTCCTCTTACAATTGCTACTCTTCCTACTACTACTACTACTACTACTACTAATACTAATACTAATACTGATACTAATACTAATACTACTACTACTACTACTACTACTACTACTACTGCTATTACTACTAATACTAGTACTACTACTACTACTACGACTACTACTAACTACTACTACTACTACTACTACTACTACTACTACTGCTATTACTACTACTACTACTACTACTA